CCCATTTTCCTCACAGACCTCAATCACTGTGGTGTGTCTGAGCCTGGTGGTAGAGGAGCTGGCAGGGACAGCCTGCCTGGATGCCTTCTCTGGCTGGTGATGACTGAATGCAGACTTGGATACCTGCCCTGTTGGCTCTAACTGTATAAGTTCAGCATCTTGGTCCAGCTTCCTGTCTATAAAATGGGTTGTTATGCATGTTAGAGAATGTCCTTGCTGCCCTTAGCACATGTCTTCCTGACTGGGAGGAGAGCTGGAAAGACAGATAGACAGCCTAGAAAGTGAGGAGTGACAGCACATATTCTAGGACAGAATGAGGGATAGATGCAAAGAACAACTTCCAGCTAGACATGGTGGCATATGCCCGTAATGCCAGCACTAGGGAGGTGGAGGCAGACAGGTCAAGACCAGCCTTGGCTATTCAGTAGATCTGAGGGCACCATGGGCTATGAGATTGTCTCATCATCTGTCCCATAGAGGCACAACTTCCTTCAGGGAGGAGAGCACAGGACAGTGTTCCTCAGGGCTGCTGGGATGTGTTTTCATGTTGCCGACAATTTAGGCAAAATTTAGCAACTTGACCAAGGCCAGAAGGGCGCTGGGTGAGCCTGGGCAGTGTTCTAAGAGGCCGGGCCTGGATTCTAAACTGTCTCTTTTAGCAACTCTGGCTGATAACCTATCCTTTCCACAGAGAGTGGCCTGCTCACCGTCCCCTTGGGGCCCAGTGAAGCCAGGAGCACAGACACACTGGACAAGCTGCGACAGGCGGTGGGTGGATGAGATGGGAACAGGGAGGGACAAGCAGGTTCTGCTGAGATGGCTGGCCCACTGACCTTGTGACCTCCCGCCCCCTCCCCAAGGTGATGGAGCTGTCTGAACAGGTGCTGCAAATGCGAGAGGGACTTCAGTCACTTCGCCAGGCTGTGCAACTCATCCTGGTGCCCCAAGGGGAAGGCCAGTGTCCCCGGGTATCAGGAGAGGGGCCATGCCCAGCTACTGCCTCTGGGCTCCTACAGCCGCTGCGTGTGGACACTGGGGCATCCTCTTACTGCCTGCAGCCCCCAGCAGGTTCTGTCTTGAGTGGGACCTGGCCTCACCCTCGTCCAGGGCATCCCCCTCCCCTCATGGCCCCCTGGCCCTGGGGTCCCCCAGCATCTCAGAGCTCCCCTTGGCCTCGAGCCACAGCTTTATGGACCTCCACATCAGACTCGGAGCCCCCTGGCTCTGGAGATCTCTGCTCTGAGCCAAGCACCCCAGCATCACCCCCTCCTTCTGAGGAAGGAGCTAGGACTGGGACCCCAGCACCTGTGAGCCAGGCTGAGGCTACTAGTACTGGAGAGCCCCCTCCGGGGTCAGGGAGCCGGGCCTTGCCCTGGGATCCCCACAGCCTAGAGATGGTGCTCATTGGATGCCACGGTCCTGGCACAGTCCAGTGGACCCAGGAAGAAGGCACAGGGGTCTGACTGCTGGCCAGAGGTCAGTACTGCAAACCATCACCACCTGCTGCTCGGCCTAGCCTCACAGCTGTGCACTGCCCACTGGCTCAGGGCAGGGAGCCCGGGAAAGGAAGAGGCTTAGCCTAGCTTCAGAGGGTGAGCTGGTGCCTCAGGCAGGCCCCAGACTAGGGGTCCACAGGTTCTGCTCCACTGACCTGCTTGTCCCCCCTCCACCAGATGGAGGCAGAGGCCTGAGGACAAGGAGGGGTTCTGCCATTCCTTGCATGTGCCCGTCTCCACCTGTCCTCATGTTTTTTATATTAAAAAACATAAAAAATAAAAGAAACTACTTTGGAACTTGGTGCTTTTTATTTACAAAACGAAAAACAAAAAGGGAGGAGACTAAAGCTGATCCCCTGGAGACACAGGAGTGATGTGGCAATGGTGGGGCTCTGGCTCTGGGGAGGCACAGGGGTCCTAGCCTCTCCTGGCATCCCCATGGTGATCCCACCTTGCTTCAAAGGCTCAAATCAATGGGCCAGCAGTTGGGCCTCCACTACCCACTCTGGGTAGAGGGTTTTCCAGAAGCCTGAGTTCCCAGCTCAAGGGAGCTGGAATGACAGGGGAAACTGAGGCCAAAGAATGCCCTGGTTTCTGCTACCCGCCTCACTGTGGTGTGATCTTGGCAGCCTCAGCCCGGATGAGGGCAATGAGGTCCTGGTTGATGAGGAAGACGAATCTCAGGCTGGCGATCTGGGCAGGAGAGAAAGATGTCTCAGTGCGTAAGTAGGACAGGACATCCATGGGTTAGTCTGTCATGCACTAGGTGACACACCCTTGTGGTAGAATATTATTTTAAGGTGTGTGATTTTTGTTTATGCTGCATTTGTGTAACTCTGTGAAGCTGTTACTTTGCCTGTCTAAATCACCTGATGGTCCTAGTAAGAGCTGAATGGCCAATAGTGAGGCAGGGGCAAGGATGGGCAGGGTTGGCAGGAAGAGAGGATAAATAGGAGAAAAGAAGAGGGGGGCAGCAAGAGAACAAGGAGAGAATGTTGGGGGCCAGGCAGCCAGCCACCCAGGCATGAAGTAAGAAGAAAAGTAAGCAATACAGAAATAAGATAAAAGCCCAGAGGTAAAACATAGACAGGCTAATTTAAGATAAGAAACGCTGGCTAGATATAAGCCAAGCTAAGGCCGGGCACTCATAACTAAGATAAACCTCCAAGTGTGACTTATTTGGGAGCTGGGTGGTGGACCCCTCAAAAAGGCCAGAGTAAAACTTTGCACTACATATCCTAGCATTCTCCATCCCCAACTCACCTCCACCACGGAGTTGTTGCTAAGCCGCCACTTGGAGCCACATAGCACAGGCCGGCCATCAATGTAGATGGGCCGCCGGCCCTCATTGGCGATGAAGAAGTCACCATTGTTTTTCAGCTTGATGACACCTGCAGAGGAAGAAAGGAAAGGGGATGACAACATGGAGACAGCCTGGAGAGAGCTACAGGTCTCTCTGCTTCCTGCGGATGAGGCCTCGAAGGCACTTGAGATCCCCTGGGTAGGGCTCTCAAAGCACCAACTCCTTTGGCCTGCCTCACTAATTCATGAGGGTTCCTTAGGCACATGGCCCAGGGCTGGAAAGGCCAGGAGAGGTTGGGAGGATGTACCCACACTGTTCCCTGCTAGAGTGGCAGGAGGCTATACCTTGCTTTCGGGAGATCTTCCAGGCTGGACCTTCTAGAGACAGGTCGACATCAATCTGGTTGTCCTTGGTTGCTCTGCCCAGGGTGATCTGGGAAAATGAGGGAGGTGAGGGCTCAGATAGAGAATGAGGGAAAGGAGCCCCACCCAGGGCAGGGCAAGAGGAGAAAACAGGGACTGGGCAGAGAAAGGGACAACAAAGGAGGGTGCCTAGGCAGGGTAGGAACAGTGCCAGCCTGTCTTACCTCACGAGAACGCATTAGGTATCGCACCATGCGGCCCCGCAACACTGCCAGGGTCTGGTTGTCGAAGTCTGGAGAGCTCATGCCTGAGAGAAGAACAGGGTCAGCAAAGTAGGAAAGGCCCAGCCCTGAGTTGGGCGGGGAGACAGGGAGGTCTAGCAAACAGCACACCCAAAGAGGCAAGAAAAGGGGCCCAATGGGACAATGGATGCAAGAGTATACTCCCTGGTCCCTGAGCCTCCTCACCTGTGATACTGTCCACTAGCACCTGCCACTTATGCAATTCCTGTTCCAGCTGCCGGATCTCTCGTTTCTGGCGCCGGTCAGCCACCGTCAGCTCTGAGGTGAAGTTAAGTTGTAAGAAGGGACACTTTGATGCCACGAGAACCTTGAACTGGTCCCCTCCATTTCAGCAAGAGCTCCCACTCCCACACTGTCCCCAGCAGGGTAGACTTACCATGCTCCAGGACTTCATCTCGCATGTCCCTGAGTGGTGAAAAGGATGAATCAGGCCCACTATCAGGCTCTGCTACCTGGCCCACTAGGGCACCCCAGGCTCTTCAGCCAAGGGGCTCAGGAAGTTGTCTAAGCCCTGGCCTAGCCCTGGGACTGGGGTGGGGAGAAGGGGAAGGCAGTGAGCTTAAGCGGCCCCCATAGGAGAGGGTGCAGCAGGGTGGCTAGGCCCAGCAGCTGCACCTGAAGCTATGTCTGCTGGGCAGCCTGGGGTGGCCAACAAATTGGAGTCGACCCTCTCCGGGAACTCACTTGAGCTTACTGTCGTCAATCAGGTCCTCTGCATCAGAGAAGTTTAGCACTTGGTCCCCCTTGGGCAGTGGCTGCACTGAACAAACAACAGAGGAAGTGTAAATGTCCAGGTTTCTATTCCAGCCCTGATGCCCAACAGCCAGGTGAGCTGAGAGGGCAGGCTGCAAGGACAGAGACTTCTGGAGCCAGAGCCACAGAGAGAACACAGTCCCAAGTCGGTGGCACTGTGACTTGACATAATGCATCCTGCCACTTAACTTGGGACAGAGGTGGTTCAAGACGAAGGAACTATAGCTGACCTGCATAGGCTTGTGGTACATGGCAGGCTTACTCCTAAAGCCTCAAACTAAGCAATGGGGGACTGCTCAGCTTCCTATACATGTGAGGGAACAGATACCAGATGGCAGATGAAGCTCTGACCCTAGTTGGGGACAGCCAGAAGCCAAGCTTCTCCCCAGATTTTGTGCCCCCCCCCCAGAGGCATGCACCATTGGAAAGCACAGGCCGAGAGCTGCTTCATTGCAGCTCTGTAGGGAATGACCTCCTTATGGGACATGAAATTAACTTTATTGCTTTTAAAAGACAAAACGGAGCAGGACAATACTAGAACCCACCAAATATATTCTGGAAAAATACTGTTTCATGGAAGTTTTCAACTATTTCTGTTGAGAATGAAAGAAACCAAGGTGCCTAGAATATAAGAACTTGGGATTTCTGTCCAGCTGTGCCAAGGCTACAATGGTGCTCTGTTGCAGGGCAGCCTGCAGCTGCCAGCTTGGGGGGTGGGAGGGTTGCATAGGAGGCAAGAGACTGTGGAGACAGAGGAGTGGGCTCTCTGGTCACTGCCACCAAGCTGCCTTCCATCAGGTCTGCCTGAAATCCATGACTCTAAATGTGTGACTAACCTGCTGGAAACTAAGCTAAGGAAACTGTCTGATCCTTGGGACACCGGGCTCTAAGCAACGAGAAACAAATTCCCACACAAAGACTCTTGGAGGAAAAAATTTATATAACCTTTAAGATAAGGCTTTCAGTGAACAGAATAATTTCTAAAATGATGACAAAGAAGCAGAATTTGGTGGTACAACTCCAGAATTCCAGTTCTTGGGCGATAGAGGCAAGAGGTCAGCCTGGGCTGTAGAAAACCAAGCCTCAAAAAAACAAAAACAAAAAAACAAAAAAACAAAACAAACAAAAGAGTCAAAACCAAAAACCAAAAAAAAAGCCAGGCGATGGGGCACACCTTTAATCCCAGCACTGGGGAGGCAGGCAGGCGGATCTCTGTGAGTTTGAGGTTAGCCTGTTCTACAGATTGAGTTCTAGGACAGCCAGGGATACACAGGGAAACCCTGTCTTGACCCACGCCCCCACCCCCCCTCAAAAAAAAGACAAGCCGGCTTTAAAATAGTAAAAATAAATGTCACCTAGCAAATGTTTTCTGGGAGGATTCAGTGATGAGTAAGGCTGCCAGCCCCTGGACCACTAACCTGTAGGACAGATTTCCTACAATCCTGCAGGAGGCGACCTTTTATAACTACAGCTGCAGGAGCATACTAATGCAGCAAAGGGCCTCACTTTCAGAGTGTGAAGAGCTATGGTGGTGTGGTGCACCATGCAGCAGGCAGCGGATTCAGGCACCGAGAGTGTGCCTAAACCACTGACACCAGAGCCTGGCTCACCAGTTCTCCTACAGGGTTCCTGCAGCCTAACCAGGCGGCTTTCCTAGCACTTGTCCTCCAGAGAAGGGGAGCCTGATGATGAGGAGGTGGCAGAAGGCACTCCAGCCCTCGGGGAAGAAAAAAGATGGGGGCCTAGATATGAAGTTCCACTGGGGAGTCCTGGGTCTAAGCTACCTGACAACACAGACTCCTTGGTCCACAAATGGAGGAGGACACAGAATGGTGACAGGGCAACTTTAAAGGTAGTCGTTATCTCTGGGGTGAGAAACATGGGGAAGAGTGACTAAAGATGGACATGCCCAGTTTGCTCCAGTTTTAATACTACCTGTAAGTAATAGTATACTAATGTGCTGTTTATGTGATAGCAAACTATGCCAAGAAATAAAACAGAAGACCCTGAAACAAGAAGTAGGAATAACTGCTGTTAGGACCTTTGGCCCAGGGTACCGGGCAAGCTGGCTTCCCTTCCCACAATGCCAAAGGCCCTGACAGCTCTACAAGGAAGCAAGTTTTGTTGCTGCTGTTTTTTTGCAAACTGAGGTGCAGAGGACACTAGGGTCTGCTGAGGACTCTATTACAGGGCACAGGCAGGCAGATGTGCCTGCAGCACTTCACACATGCTCTTACACCTTAACAC